CCTCCTGTGGTCTCTACAAGCACGGACATAAGTGCACACACCTCACACCCATGGGTCCATACACACTATAGACACACAAAATTAAAATAAAAGGTTGTTTTTAATCTGAAAAAGTCAAGCTTATTGGCTCCCACCTATAACCCCAGCTCTCAGAAGCTGAGGCAGGAAATTAAGTGCAGGTCTGAGGGCAGCATGAGCTGCATGGGAGTTCCAGGACAGCCTGGCCTTCAGAGTAAGACAAAAAAAAGGCAAAAATGTCAAAAGTGAAAATAAAAATGTGGAGCCATGGGCCGGCAAAATGTCTCAGAGGGTGAAGTTGCTTGCCACATAAGCCTGATGACCTAAGTTTAATCCCCAGAACCCACATGGTGAACGGAGAAAAGCAAATTTTCCAAGTCATCCTCTCTCTCCACTCATGCTATGGCACACAGCCATGCACCCCCATACACAAAAGAAATAAAACTTTTGAAAACTAAGTGTCTGGACTGAACATCTAAACCATTCTCTATTTTGGCCCCAAACAATAGAGTATAACAACTATTTACATAACTGTTGGTTTACTATTTACACAGCATTTACACTGTATTAAGAATTACAAGTAGCCGGGCGGTGGTGGCACATGCCTTTAATTCCAGCACTCGGGAGGCAGAGCCAGGCGGATCTCTGTGAGTTCGAGGCCAGCCTGGACTACCAAGTGAGTTCCAGGAAAGGCGCAAAGCTACACAGGGAAACCCTGTCTCGAAAAAAAAAAAAAAAGAATTACAAGTAGAGGTTGGGGATTTAGCTCAGTGGTAGAGCACTTGTCTAGCAAGCACAAGGCCCTGGGTTCGGTCCTCAGCTCCGGAAAAAAAAAAAGAATTACAAGTAATCCAGAGATCATCTAAATATATGAGAAGACACCATTTCCCATATAAGGGACTGGAGCATCCACAGATGTTGGTATTATGGGGAGCCTGAACCTAGACCCCAAGGACACCAAGAATAAATTTTGTTAAAATCCTGACTTGAGAAAAACAACTATAAGAAAAATCAAAACACAGGCCAGGGATGGTGGCTCACGCCTTTTACCTCAGCACTTAGAAGGCAGAGGCAGGGGGATCTCTGTGAGTTCGAGGCCAGCCTGGTCTACAGAGTGAGTTCTAGGACAGCCAAGGCTTCACATAGAGAAACCCTGTCTCAAAACAAAATCAAAACACTAGGTAAATTAATATCAAACCTAAATACCAGGTATTTTATATTATGGGTAAATGTCTATATTTAGGTGGGGTGGTGGTATAAAATTAAATTTTTAAAAGAAATTATCTTCTCCTAGAACTCATATCAAAATGTTTACATTTTATGTGATATGCCTACAATGTGCTTCAAAATAATCTAAAGAAGATAGATGGAAAGTAGATGAGAATACAGATTAAAACAATAAGTATTAGTTCACCAAACATATGCCACACTCACAAACACTGTACATGAATCAAGGCTGGGTGCTATATGAAGTTAGATAAAACAGAGCCGCTACCTCCACAGGCTAATGTGGGAAGCACCCAGACAGTGAAATATGGTGTACCAGGTGCTGTACAAGAGATGCACTGTAGAGATACCCACGTACAGAGGACAGGGATCCTTAATCAGAGTGAGGAGCTGGATATGGTTTTCTATCGAACTGATGCTTGAAGTGAATCTTGGCAAATAAATATTTATTGCAGTGGCGGTGGCAGGGATGGGCTGCACACTGAAAACGTTCTAGAAAGAGAGGGCAGGCAGGCATGAGATAGCGTGGCAGTGCCACCCGGGTTCAGGACAAATGGGAAGAAGAAAGCAGGGAGGCAGAGGGCAGAAGATAAGGCTGGGAACCTTGTCATGAAGATCCTAAAGTGAAAGGGTCAAGAATTGAAACTTTCATTCCAAAAGACACTGGGCAGGGCTGGCAAGAGGGCTCAGTGGATAAAGGCACTTGCTGCCAACCCTGGCCGCCTGAGCTTGATCCCTGGGACCCGCATGGTGGAAGGAGAGAATTAGCTCTAGTAAGTCGTCCTGTGATCTCCACATGTGTGCCATGGCCTGTGTGTGCATGCATGCACAAACACATACATACACACAATGAACACAAATACAGCATAATTTTGGAGAAAAAAAAACGAGTTAAAAATGAGTGGGCAACCACTGTAGAACTTTCAGCAGGAGAATGGCACTGTGTTATCTTCACTTTACAGGCCGCTGGGACTCTGAGTGGAGAAGGCACGGAGAGAAAGGCTGGAGCCAGGGAGACAAGTGCAGACATTAATGTAGTAGAACTCAAGTGCTGACAGTGCAGAACTGGTGGAGTCAAGGTATTTCTAGACTAGTAAAACCAGCAAGGACTTGGAGATGGCTTAGATGTCGAGGAGGAAGCGGGGACTGAGACATGAGCTAAGATGACACAAGTTTCTAGTCCACTGGAATGCCTGTAAGTAAACTGTGGCGGGAACATTCGGGAAAATAAGAGGGTAAGCTTAGTTTAGGACCGCTGTTAGCAACAGGAGGAAACTGTGTTCACCAGGGGCCGCGTAGGAGCAATTTCAGTTATTACCACCTAATGGTACCTAGTAGACGAGACACTACAGCCACTGCTAATCAATGGACCTAATAGCCCCTCACAAGAGAGACTAATATAACCCACACAGCAACAGCACAGAACTTGAGAAGACCAGATTAGGACAACACTGATTTGAAGATCTCCAGCTGATTGCTTTCTAAGGATGCTCAGCAGCCTCTGGGAACTTCCTCAAGCTTAAGAGGGCAACAGAATGTAAATACAAGGTAACAGCTATCCTTTTATTAAGTAGCTATTCAAGGCACCAGTTAAGGTTGGGTGCTATCTCCCAAGAATATATTCAGGAAGCAGAAGGCCTAGGAGAGAATCCTCAGAGACACCAACAACCATAGTAGGAAAGGAGAAGTTGTGAACAAGATAGGCGGAATGTTGGGGCTGGAGAGATGGCTCAAGGATTAAGAGAGCCTGTTGTTCTTGTTATTCTTCCAGAGGACCCAAGTTCGGTTCCTAGTCCCCACATCAGGTAGCTCACAGCTGCCTATGACTCTAGCTCCAGGGGAACCTTTGCAAGTACCTGCACATAGATGGCGCGCGCGCGCGCGCACACACACACACACACACACACACACACACACTAAATATTTAGAAAAGAGACAGGAGGAAAGCCATCAGAGAAGGTATCAAAAACCAACTGAAGAAGGTAGTGTTTCAGGAGGGAAACAGGAATAAGACAGATACAGTGCTAAAGGAAGAGAAAATAAGTAAGCTAGGGGCAGAAAGCTTCTATGGGCTTTGACAAAACCGAGGTCACTGGTGGCTTGGACAAGATCAACTTCAGTCGAGTGTCTGAGACATAAGTAAGAACTATTAGGATTTCTTTTTTTTTTTTGGGGGGGGGGTTCGAGACAGGGTTTCTCTGTGTAGCTTGGAGCCTATCCTGGAACTCACTTTGTAGCCCAGGCTGGCCTCGAACTCACAGAAATCCACCTGCTTCTGCCTCTCGAGTGCTGGGATTAAAGGCCACCACCACCCAGCCTATTAGGATTTCTTAAAGGTGGGAAATACTAATCAAACTATGAAGAAAAAAGAGCTGTGAGGCGGGGGTGGGCAAAGAAACAGGAGAAGGGTGTGTAAGGAAGGACAGGGAACCTAAGAAGCAGGGATCGAGTCCAAACAAAAAGGAGCCTAAGCTTTGATGGGGCAAAGGGAAACAATGACTTCTCCCACTTAGAAGAATGGTCGGACTTCAGTGACATTTGCAGATGGACAAACAGCCAAAGGAATTTGCTTCTGAGAGCTTTTTACGTTAATCTTCCAAAACCAAAGAGAAAGGTGAATCAGTTTAAAAAAAAAAAAAAGCAAAGAAAGGTAAGAGTTTCAAATAATCACTAACAAGAGGCCAGTGACATGGCTCACTGGAAGAGTGTTTGCCACCAACATTGACCACCTGAGTTTGATGCCTGAGACTCTTGTCCTCTGACCTCCCCAAGTGTACTGCAGTACATATGTACACGTACACACACACACATACACACACACACACACACACACACACACCATGCACATAAATAAACGTAATAAAATAGAAAAATCCCTCACAAAAAATAGGACAAGAAGGTGATTCAGAAGGAAAATGAGTCTACAAAAACAGCTGTGTCCTAGATGGGGCGTTAACATGTGCCCCACGACAAAGCAGCACCCCAATGTCAGAAGCAAGAATCATGAAAACGGTAGGTGCTGGTAAGAATGCAGAGGAGGAAGCGAGTCATTGGGGAGTCTAGTTCAATCCTCAGCGAGGCCTCAGCCTTTTGTTGTTCCTATCCATGAGCACAGGCATCATTTAAACCAGCCACCACTGTAGCCACGCTCCAGGTACACTACCTGAAACACAGTAGGCACCCAGTAGTGGACTCATAAAACAGATGGATTCAACAATGTCTCAGGGGTCAATCCCATGAGAAATTTGTTTTTTGTTTTTGTTTTTGGGTTTTTGGGATTTTTTGCTTTTTTTTGTTTGTTTTGTTTTTTTGTGGTGCCAGGATTCAAAGCCAGGTCTTCATCCATGATAAACAAGCAGTCTACCACTGAGTCACAGCTCAGTCTCACGATACCTGCCTTATTGCCATGCCTACAACTCTCATGGTATTTCTTTGTTCTGCTGAAAGCATTAACCTTTTAAATATTTTGAACACCTGACTCAACACAGTGGTCTCAGCAGTACCTCTTTCCTGCTAATTCCCTGCTACTAACGTCCTTGTACCCCTTGACATTTCCAATAACAACAGCAGTTCTGCCTCCCACTCTCTACTTTCCCCAGAACAAAACCCGGACAATATTCTGCCCACATTAAAAGGTAGGCTTTCAGCACAGAGCCCCTTGTTCCCTCCAGCAACAATCACAGCAGGCACCAATACTCAAATGTCAGGGACAGAGCAGCCAGAGACTACAGTGCCCCAGGTTATCTTCCACTCACCCTTGTTCATTTTTACCTGAGCTACTTGACTGTGTTTTTCCGGGATGTTTTTCAGTTGGCTACACGGTACACAGACGATATTCCCATCTACGTGAAGAAAAATGATTTATTTATATGGTTTTCATCCTAACCCAGCAGCTGGAAGTCCCTCCTTTGGAGGCATATGTTGATACAAAGAAGCAAAAGGCCTAATTCAAGTACTTAGCTTTTTTTTTTTACAGAGAAAACCTAATTGTTCCCTGGTTTAGCCATTCATCAGCTAGTTCTTAACCCTTCCTCTCATACCATGAGTGTGCTATGTGACGATATCTGCTTTCTGTTCAGGTTTTAAGAGGGAAATAAAATGTAATGGGTTTTGTTTTTCTACTAGTGAATAATCAAACACTGACGTCATAAAGTCATTTAATTCAGCACATGAAGGGAAAAGCCAAATGCATTGCTTGCCCTAATGAACTATAGTTCAAGGCTATTAAACAGTGTGACTAATATCAAATGATGGTGTTTCGAGTCAAGTTATTGAAAATCGGCAAATAAAAAGCTCAGGAATGGAATCTGGGAATGGATGCAGGAACTGAGTTTCAGAAAATGCCATTGTGATTTCTGTCACGTGTACCCCACTTTCCCTTCCAATTCTTTTAAGATGGGTTGAGCACAGAAAGCTCTAGTCTTTAGGTCTATGAGGATGGGGATTGACAGTGACTCCCAACCAAGGAGGGCACTGCTCCCAATATGGACAGGAGCAGAAACAAGGATTCCAATGTCGATGATGAGGTGGCAGCAGTGATAACGGGAACATCCGCTCTAAGCCCTCACTGGGTTATCTGGCAAATTGCATTTAGAGGAAGAATAGGCAAGGGCAGTGATCTCTCTTACTGTTGTAATCATCACAAATTAGCCCAGATCAACCTTGCCATCAGGAGCTGTATCCAAGTCAGCGTTCTTTAAAGTCTTTGTGTGTTCCACTCCTGCTGACACTGTTATCTGCGTCCTCCTCACCCTTCGCCATCACTGGTTTGTGTGTTAGTCTGTTTTGTTTGGTTTTCAACTGACCTCTCCAAGTTCCTAGGTAGTACCCCACAGTCTTTGGGTTGCCATCTGGGCCCCGGTTCACAGAGAAGGTGGACTTATTTCGGTAGCCATTGATGATGGGCTGGAGAGGACAGAAGCAAAGGAAGAAGAACAAGAGATCACACAAAATCAAAGAGATAACAAGAAAGAGAATGCAGCCATGTTCTCTGAATGGGGACCAATGACGCTGATGTGGAAGGCATGGTACATGTCAAAGTCTGTGGCTGAAATGATCCAAACACTCTTGACAGCAAATTTCTGATCTGTGCTGTCGATCTGCTTTTGAATAAAGTTTCCTTGCTACTCTGAAAAAGAAAAAGAAATTCCAAGCAGGAGCTAGCAAACCTGACCTGTCACGAGCTGGAATAGTTTAAGCTTTGCAGGACATATGGCACCTGTCATAACTACTCGATGGTGACACTGTAGCCCTGAAAGCAGCCACAGACACAAACAGGAGGGTTGGGCTATAACACAAAAAGACAGATTTGGGCCGGGCGGTGGTGGCGCACGCCTTTAATCCCAGCACTCGGGAGGCAGAGCCAGGCGGATCTCTGTGAGTTCGAGGCCAGCCTGGTCTCCAAAGCGAGTTCCAGGAAAGGCGCAAAGCTACACAGAGAAACCCTGTCTCGAAAAACCAAAAAAAAAAAAAAAAGACAGATTTGGTCTAAGGGACATGGTATGCCAACTTCTGCCATAAATGAAATTCTGCTATTTTGGAAGCACTGTTAGGCAGGTTTTTAAAGTCTGGAGTCTGCCTAAGGAGGCAGTATGGCAGTGGCTGATAAAGTGAGCTCTGTATCAGACAGTCCAGAATATGTAAACATTAGCTCTGACACTTTCTAGATGTGTGCACTAGGTAAATTGCCCAGTCCCTGTATTCTCTGATAGCTTCATTTACAAAATGACAGCGCCTATCCCTCAGGGCCATTGTAAACAGAAGAATGAGAAAATGATGCAGGATAATCACCCGGCCCCAGCAAGTACCCAGTGAACACTGTTGATATCATTAGCCATTCCAGGACCACAGTGGGTAAGAACTAGGGAGGTGGGGACTTACAGAGGGTATAATAGGATGGAGGTGACAGCGCAGCCCCTCAGAATGGGGCGCGGCCACTCTTTCACTGACTCCATGGAGCACTCGTAGGGACGACTCTAGTCTCTGTATAATTTTCTTCTGAGCTTCAAATTTCACCTGCAACAGAAGGAATATAAGCAATGCAGCAAAGAATTTTGTATTTTCACTGCAAAGGATAGAAAAGAAGACAAAAGAGGCTCTCTCCAAGATTCATGGGTTGTGCACTTAGCAGATAAGAGAAGAAGGAAATCCAGCACAGGCAAAGACTTAATAAGATGCTCAGGAAAGGTCAAGAGGGAGTTCTGTGTGAGCTCATCTTTTCATCTGACCTTTAAGATTAAACACTTAAAGTATATGTCAGTGCTGCCCAGTAGAACGTCCTGTAATGGAAATGTTCTCTCTGTGCTATATTCACACACAATAGCCACTAGTCATGTGTGCCTAGAGCACTTGAAATGGGCCTCATGAAACGACAGAAGGACTCACTGGAGAAAGAAGGTTAGGCACACAACGTCCTAAAATGCATCAAGTAATGTGTGGGGCGTTTACCCAACCACCCCCACAGTTCCCCAGAGTTTTCTTGAGTGCGAGCAGCAGGAAATATTAGCTAGAAGGATTTATTGCGGAGAATATCGCGGAGATAAACAGAAAATAAAGGATAGCCTCAAGAGGGCCTGGAACCTATTCCAACGGGCCCTGACTGTCTCTGCCCCAGGGTTTTTATAGAGACGCCTAGGGGTGGAGCAAAAGACCTCCTCCCCCAGCACAGCCAAGTGCAGACCATCCCAGACACCTGCACTTAGGCCTGTGGTCTAATCATCCTCTATGCGGACCTGCTGGGTAAAGCCACGAGGAACCCGAGAACGGGCTCCCACAGTAATGCACGCAGGAAAGCAGCTTTCAGAGAACCAAGCAGAGGGAAGGATATGATTCTAATACAGTGTTCTAATGGCAGCCCTTCACAGAGTATCCCTGTTCAACCTTGTCCTCAAGTTCTGCACCAAACGCTTGGAATTCAATTTTCTTGAAGGTCGCTGTATGTTTTGTTCCTGCTGGGCCTGTTCGCCATACCTGACCTTGCAGCCCTTATGTTCTTATTTCTACTGGTCGAAGCCATCACCTGACTTCTCCAGATTCCCAGGGAGTACCCATGGTGTTTGGATTGTTTGTCGTCTGGGCCTGGGCTCCTTTCTAGTTTCTTCCCTGTCACTCTTTGTTTTTAGTTCTTTCAGATTTTTTAAATTTACTTGTTTTTATTTTATTGTGTCTGGGTTTTTTGCCTACATGTATGTCTATGCACTATGTGCGTGTGTGGTGTCCATGGAGTTCAGAAGGTGTCAGATTCCCTGGAACTGCAGTTATATACAGTTGTGTGCTGCCATGTGAGAGCTAGGGATTAAACCTGGGGGCCTCTGTGCTCTTAAGCACTGAGTCATCTCTCCAGCCACCTGCTCTTTCTTTTCTCAAGATAGACTCTCACCATGTAGCCCTGGCTGGCCTGGAACCCATTATGTAGACTAGGCTTACCTCCAGCTCAAGAGCCACTTATCTCTGCCTGCCAAGTGCTGGGATTAAAGGTGTGTACCACCATGCTAAGCTTTTTAATGTCATTCTTATAGCTGAGTGTATGTAAGAGTGTATGTGTGTGTGTGTGTGCGTGCACACACGCACTCTTATACTTTCCAACACAGGATGTGACAAGAACAGCACCACTTTATGCATGTCAAATGACTAAAACAAAATAAGAATATGGGGCTGGAGAATTGTCTCATCAGTTAGGAGCACTAATGGTTCCTGCAGATGACCCAGGTTCGATTCCCAGAACCTACATGGTGGCTAACAACTGTCCGTAACTCCAGTCCCAGGGGATCTGACCTCTGAAGGCACCAAGCATGAACATGGTGCATGTGCACATACATGTAAGGCAAAATACTCATACATATAAAATAATACATGAATCTAAAAATTTTGTGAAAAGAAAGAAAGAAGACTATGACAATAAGCCTATAATTTTCCCTCTAAGACCTAAGATTTGTTTGTAGAAGCAGGTGCCAAAAGGGTCACCACTTTGGGAATAGTATGAGGAACTGAAAGTACACTGGGCAGAGTATTTGATCACCAATATGGAACAGGTATGGTCCATAACATCCTCAGAGAACTGAGGGAACCAGTGGATGGCTGACACATACACATATACATTTTATCTATTCTTACACAGCCCAGTTCAACTGGGTGCAATTTCCTTCTTTCATCTAGCACTTCTAGTGAACAAAATTGCTCCTGGCAAACAAGAAATCTGCATTATGCTCAAATTGTTCTCTAATACATCAATCCATTGGAACAAATTTGTTTTCAAAGCAAGCATTATGGCAAAATTGACTACACTTAAATTTAAATAGACATATGTGGCTGCTGGCTCCTGTGTTGGGAAATTTGACTCTATTATTACCCATACACACAAGGATGACAAAAAAAAACAACATCAGCAATTGAATATACGGGCCTAGAGTTTAGAAGCTATAACTAGCCTAACGTTCAATCGTCAGAGTCATTAGCAAACCAAATTTAAAGACCTGCAGGGTGGGCTGGGAACATGGTTTCCTTGACACAGTGATTGTGTGGCATTCGTGAAACCCTGGGTTTAAGCCCAGGAACTGTATACAGTAAGTGTGATGGTGTACTCCTGTAATCCAGGAGGCAGGAGGATCTAAAGGCTACAGGTCATCCTTAGTTACATAGTGAGATGATAGTGAGATGGAGACATGCCTGAACTACAGGACACTTTGCTTCAAAAAAAAAAAAAACCAAAACAAAACAAAAAGACCTGTGGGGCAACTGGACTGAACTCTCCAATCAGGTTTTCCATAAGTCTAGTTCTATTCTGCTGCAGGAGTACGGGGAGAAGACTCAAGCTAGACACCTACCTTGAGCTGCTCTTCATAGCTAAGCCTCCAGAGTGGAGTCACAACATCAGCCAGCCTTGAATAAAATAATTCAGACACATCGTTAATGATCGAAATATGTACTGAGCATCTATTATGCATAAGTACTTCCTGCCACCAATCTCTCTGATGTTTTACTTAAATTCAGAAGCTACAACTGACTCTCATTCCCCTAAGGAGATGGGAGTCTGGGAGAAGAGCCCATTTTGGTGATGCCTACTACTTAACAAAGCAGAACAGATGGGCAAATTCAATATAAGAAAAATCCAGATTTATCAGGCGGTAATTAGTCATATTACAAAAAGCTTTACTTCTAGGAGCCTCTAAAAGGTTAACCTCCTTAATGCTTTTAAAATACAATTTGATTTCAAAAATACATTTGTTGCATAAAATGAGGTCTATTTCTGCTTGTTTGGCTGTAACAGGACTATTCATGCCCAATCCATGTAGTAATTTTTCTTCTCTCTCCTTACTCCCCTCCCCCATCTCTGAAACAGGGTCTTACTATGTAGCCCTGGCTGGTCTATAACTATATGTAAACCAGGCTGGCCTTGAACTCACCCACTGCTTCTGCCTCCCAAGCACTGAGATAAAAGGCATGAACCACCGGGCGGTGGTGGCGCACGCCTTTAATCCCAGCACTCAGGAGGCAGAGGCAGGTGGATCTCTGTGAGTTCGAGGCCAGCCTAGGCTACCAAGTGAGTCCCAGGAAAGGCGCAAAGCTACACAGAGAAACCCTGTCTTGAAAAACCAAAAAAAAAAAAAAAAAAAAAAAAAGGCATGAACCACCATGCCCTGAATAGCATTTTGATTTTTATTTGCTTAGTTTTTAAATTGTTTTAATTTATTTTCATTTTTACTTTGGTTTTGGAGACAGGCTTTCATGTATCCCAGGCTAGCCTCAAACTTGCTATGTAGCTGAGGGTGACTCTGGCTCTTCCTGCCTCCACCTCCTGATGGCTGCACTTGCAAGTGTGTCCCACCATGCTCAACTCCATGGACCTTCTTTCGAAGCAAGTTCCTAATTTAAGATCTCCTTTCTGACAAAGATGCACTCTATGACAAGAACACTGCCTACAATCCCAAAGTAGTTCTATTACTATCCTTCACAAGGCCTCAAGATTGCCCTGATCACACTACTTCAAGTACCCTCACGAACTGTCATAATGCTGTATCAGTCAATATATTAGCAATACAGAATTTCAGTGGCCCCGTAGATTCTGACTTGCTGAAAACAAATGGCATCAGCTTCAGTCTTACCTCTCCTGCCAGGAGTCCTCCAGTGATCTAAAGTGCCTTTGTTTCTTCTGATACTTTTGTCGGCTTGGATGCTTCCTGACTGTCACACTGGTGAAATCTCCCTTATGTGCTCTGCCCCAAAAGGACTGTGACAAATCTGGTGGGTTTGTGGTATACCAAGGAAGAAGTCCTGATTTGGAGAAGAAACCCACCCTGGAAAGGACTAATCTTGGGTTGTGCATCAGGACTCCTCTCTTGATACCTGCCAATCAAAGACACACACTGAAATTCACCCACTGGAAGGTGGATGCAGAGGCACAATTCCTAAGGCCCTTTGTTCATTTACAAATACTTATGGAACCCCAACACCAAGCACAGTACTAACACAGTATATGCAGTGAAATATACCTCGTGAACACAACTTAGGGCATGCAAGACAGAGTTTTAAGCCAGACACGATGCTATAGGCCTATAATCCCATCAATTCAGGAGGCGAAGGCAGGAAGATCATAAGTCCAAGGCCCATCCAGACTACGCAGTGAGTTCACGGTTAGCCTGGCTAACTTAATGAGATCCTGTCTCAAAATTTAAAAAATAATAATAAGGAGCTGGGGATGTAGCTCAGTTGGCACAGTGCTAGCCTAGCATGCACAAAGCCCTGGGTTTAATTCTCAGCATTCAGAAAGTAGAAGCAGGAATAACAGAAGTTCAAGATCATCGTTAGCTGTAAATTACATTTGAGACCAGCCTAGGCTACATGAGACTGTCTCAAAAAGGGGGGGGAGGGTTTAAAAAAAAGGTTGGGGGTGGTGGTGTACACCTTGAACTCTAGCACTTGGGAGACAGCGACAGGCAGATCTCTGTGAGTTTGCAGCCAGCCTGGTCTACAGAGCAATTTTCAGGTCATCTGGGTCTATATAATGAGGTCTTGTCTCAAAATAAGGTTAGGGCCATACCTCAGTGGTAGAATGCCTTCCTAGAATGTGCGAGGTCCTTAGTTCAATCTTTAGTACCACAAATATAAATAACTAAAAAAATATATAAATACATAACCAACCAACCAGCTCCCAAAATAAAGAGATGAAGAAAATAAAGATTACGTCCCCTGGGATACATTTCTACAGCCAATCCCTTCCCTATCCTACCTTCCCACCCAACAGCCAATCAAGCAAGCAATATTTAGCAAGCGCTTACTATATACAAGGCAACATGGCCAGCAGAACTGAAAGGGTTACAAGGCTACAATCTAATTGAGAAGATCAAATGAAGACCCAGGAGAAATGTTAGTGAGTCATATGCTAAACTTGGTTCCTGAGGCATGCCCAAGGAAGGCTTCTTAGGTCAGACAGGTCTTTGACAAAGAAGTAAAGGTCTCTCTGAGCAGTTCTTTAAGCACACATCATTGGATACAATAAGAACTTTGAATCCAGAGAAGAACCAAAGGACAGTGACGTCACACAGAAGAGAGCAAGAAGAGACGCTGCTGAGGAAGAGGGACCAGGAAGGCCAGGTGGCGGCACACCTGTAACCAGAGCGCTCAGGAGGCAGGGGCAAGCCAGCTTGGGCTGGAGAGTGAGTGAGTTCTAGATAGCCAGGGCTGCTTGATCAGATCCTGACAAAGAAGGAAAGGAATGGATAAAAGAAAGGAAGAGGAGGGGGGGAGCGGGGAAAAGAAGGAGAGACAGAAAGATAAAACAGGAAAAGAATAAAAAGGAAGGAGAAGCAGCACCCACGGAGCTATAGACGCCAAAGGAAGGGTCTGTGATGCAGGAACTGACAGAGCCAGGCTGTCTGAGGCACCAAAGGGAAGAAGGCAATGAGGAGAGCCAGACAGCAGGGACAAGTGAAAGCTTTGGGAAGGAGTACAGAATGACAGAATGGGCTTGGGCTGTCTGCGGGCTCGAACACTTACTAGCTAGATGGCTTCTAGCAGGTTAGTCATGCCTCTGACATTCCTTTTCTTTTATCTGTAAAACAGAAAATCATAATGATACCTACCTCATATAGTAGCTACAAGAGCTAAGTAAAGATAATTAATACAAATAAAATGTACTGCTGAGGTTGTAGATCAGTGACACAGCACTTGCCGAGCTGGTACAAGGCCCTAAATCCAATCTTCCACACTACATAAAAACAAGTGCTCCACTAAAGATTAAAGAGAGATGACGTCTGTAAGGCTCTAAGCACCGTGCCCAGTAGCTGGCGAAAGCTTTTCGGTGTCATCGCTGTCACAATGCATTTAAGGATCTCATGGAACTGAAATCGGGGAGGCGATGCAGATGGAGAGCACCAGAAAGGCATCATCCGAACAACTCCAGGGACAACTCTGAGACAATGTCTAGAGCTAAGAAACGGGACTCTGAGAACACAGTGGAAGGGCCTGTATCTGTCAGTACCTGTGTCAGAGTGCTCTGAGAGGGCACCCGTCTTCCTCCATTACAGGACTTCCCTTCTGTCTGTTTACTAACTGCTCAGTAGTTTTTCCCATCAACTTGACACAGCTAGGGTCATCTAAGAAGAGGCATCTCAATTGAGAAAATGCCTCCATCGGACTCGCCCGCAGGCAACCCTGTGGGGCATTTGCTTGATGAATGATTGATGAGGGAGGGCCCAGTCCACTGGGGGTGGTGCCACCCCTGGGTGGGTGGTACTGGGTTGTAAAAGAAAGCAGGCTGACAAGCCATGGGCAGGCCCCTGCTTCAGTTCCTGCCTCCAGGTTCCTTCCTTGAGTTCCTGCCCTGAATCCCCTCAGCGATGGACAACAAGCTATAAGCTGAAATAAACGTTTTCTGCCCAAGCTGCTCTTGGTCATGATGTTTACCACAGCAACACAAAACAAACAAGGTATCTAGCTGTTGCTCCATAAGCATCTTTCCTTTTTCTGTCTTTTCTAACAGCACTGCACACTGAGCCTAGTCTCCATGCTAGGCACGACCCTGCCACTAAGCTGTATCACCAGCCTGCAATGGCGGCTCATGAAACTAAAAAGCTTCTGTACCACAAAAGCAAAAAGGAGAGGCAGCCTACAGAATGTCGTGAGAAAATCTTTGCTAGCTACACATATGCCAGAGGATTAATGCCAACAACACACAAAAACTAAAAAAAAAAAAATAATAATAAAAGGAAAAATAAAAAAGAAAACAAATGTAGATTAAAACTACTTTGTGGCCAAGCAGTGGTGGCACATGCCTTTAATCCCAACACTGAGGAGGCAGAGGCAGGTGGATCTCTGTGAGTTCTGGGCCAGCCTGGCCTACAGAGCGAGATCCAGAACAGGCACCAAAACCACACAAATAAACACTGTCTCAAAAAACCAAAACAAAAAAAAAAAAAGAAAGAAAGAAAGAAAACCAATGTTAACAAGGATATGGGGAAATGGGAACCTTTATTCAGTTGATGGGAGTGTAAACTGATGAAGTTATGGAAATCAGTGGGCAGGTTTATCAAAACACTAAAAACAGAACTACCGTTAAGATTCAGCTATTCCACTTCTGGGCATATACCAAAGAAAGGACTCTGCAACCTACCATAAAGATACCTGCGTATCCATGTTGATTGCTGCTCTAGTCCACACAGCTGGGAAATGGAGTCAACCTACATACCCATCAACATGAAAATGTGTTACATATACACAAGGGACTTTTATTAGCCATAAACAATGAAATGTGCAAGAAAATGGGTGGGACTGGAATATATTTAAGAAGTTTGAGAGCCAAGAGTCCTGGTGTACACCTTTAAGCCCAGCATTCAGGAGGCAGAGGCAGGTAGATGGACCTCTGTAAATTCAAGGCCAGCCTGGTATATGTAGTGAGTTCCAGGACGGCCAGGGCTATGTATGTAGACAGACCTTGTCAAAAGGAAGGAAGGAAGGAAGGAAGGAAGGAAGGAAGGAAGGAAGGAAGGAAAGAAAAGAAAGAAGGAAGGGAGGGAGAGAGAGAAAAGAAAGGCGGTTACAGTGACTCAGAAAGACAAGCATCTCATGTTCTCTCACATGCAGGCTCCAGCTTCTAATATTTAATATATGTGTATTTATGTGGGTGTACAGAGGCCAGGAAAGCAGAAAGGGGCCCACAAGAGAAGGACAAGAGCCTTTCAAGAGAGAAGTGGGGAGGCTGACAAAATACACATGCTATGAAAGCAGAAGGGAGAATACTGATGGTGGAAGGGAAATAAAGAAAGAGAGCAACCAAAACTAAGGATGTATGAAAATCCCACGAGGGAACCGCTAGTTTGCACGCGAATTTTAATTTTAAAGTTTTGAGTAGGGGCGGGAGAGACGGCCCAGTGGTTAAAAGCACTTGTTGCTCTTGCAGAGAGCCCGAGTTTGGTTCCCAACACCCACATGCTGGCTTACAACCGTCTGTTACTCCAGTTCCAGAGGCTCCAACACCCGATTCTAGCCTCCACAGGCACCATGAACACATGTGATGCATAGACATACATGCAAGGAAACACTCATATACATAAAAACAAACAAACAAATAAATAGCCTAAATGTTAATAAGCTCTGAACTCATCCTAATCCAGGATCCACTTCTCCCTAACTATGTGGCTTTGGACAGGTTAACTAAGCACAATGACTGTGAGGTCACCACCCATAAAAACAGGACTATTCAAACCTACCTTTCAGGGCTGTAGTAAGAATTAAATGAGCATGGCGGTGGTGGTGCACTCCTTTACTCCCAGCACTCGGGAGATAGAGGCAGATGGATCTCTGAGTTTGAGGCCCGTCTGGTCTACAGAGCTAGTTCCAGGACAGCCTGGGCTACACAGAGAGACTCTGTCTCAAAAAACAAAAACAAAAACAAAAAGACCTTCGATAAGCTTATATATATGAGGTGCTCAGGACTGTGCATCACACAGCATTTGTAGTAAAGAGTCTTTTACTGTATTTAGTAATTTCCGTAGCTAAATATACTTTTCAGGGCAAGCCAGTAATACCAATCAAGGTAAGTTCTATTTTCTTTGTTTTCTAATGTCACAGAAGGCAATGGATCACAGAAAAAATTCTTTCTTGTATCTTTTTTGTTTTAAATATAAATACTGATAATGTGTGTGAGAGAGAGGAAAAACTTCTCTGTTCCAGAGAGAGAGAGAGAGAGAGAGAGAGAGAGAGAGAGAGATAACTTCTCTGTTCTTGCCTCAGGATTAACCACTGACTGGAAAATCCAAGAGTTTATAGCAACCACCTACAGTTATGTTTACTTTCCTGGGCTTCAATGGATAACCTACTTCCAGTGCTCAAAGTTCAAGTCAGAGACATCTGAAAACGTCTAAGCCTCACGAGCAAAAGATCTTTTGGAGCAAAATATTCACTGGTAGGAACTCTGATTACCTGCCCTTCCATTGGCTGGACCCCAGCAGGGTTATTGACTAAAGCAGAGGAGAAAATTAATTTACTAATGAGTTCCACAGAAAACCACATGCAGCCACGTCCATCCATCCAACCAGACCTCTCTGAATAAGTCTGTCCCACAATAGTCTATAAGGTGTGTGTGTGTGTGTGTGTGTGTGTGTGTGTGTGTGTGTGTGTGTGTGTGATGGTTCATTTTAATTGTCAAGGCTACACCTGGGGGGAGAGTATGCAGGGATAGTTATCTAAGGAGGGACAGTCTAGAACAAGGTGGCCTGTGGACACCGTGAGAGGAGTTTGTCTTGATTATGTTAACTGTTGTGGAAAGACCCAGCTTACTGTGGGCACTGTCTCTGAGTTTCAGTCCTGGACGGCAGGACACTGTAGAAAGCAAGCTGAGTAGGAAGCATATATGCATTCATTCTCTCCGCGCCATTCATTGACTGTGGATGTGACCAGCTGCTTCAAGTTCTTGACTTTTTCCTAAAAAACTGCTGGAAGCTGCGATTGTAAGCCTAACAAATAATAAACCCTTTCTCCCTTAAAGCTGCTTTTGTCAGGGTATTTTACCACAGCAATGGGAAATGTAACTTAAGTGGGTTAGAGGACAGACGCTAGGGCACGCCAACACAAACCCGCAAACCGCAGGCAGGTTGCAGGGCTGAGCTAGGGGAGGGATGGGGGGAAGGGGGCTGTGATGGTAGACACTAGGCTGGCTGTGACCTTGCACAGCCACCCTGGGTGGCATCCCCGGCTCCGCCTGCCTCCTTCCTGTCCCAAACCCGACACTTGGGGGCAGGGAACAGTTTTCCCAAAATTGGGTTTTCCAGGATACTTACCCACCATTCCTTCCTTCGGAGCCACTAAAGCCTCCCACGGACGTACAGTGGCAAACCAAAAGGCCAGCAGACAGCGCCGCGGGCCGGAGGTCACGGGGGCGAGTCACTTCCTGGGGCGCGGCTCTCTAGCCCGCCCGCCCCGGCTCCTCCCAGCGCTGCGGGGCTCCTCCTCCGGCTCCACGCCGCCCAATCTCGCTGACTCTACAGGAGCCTTTTCTCGGAAGTGCTCCTGTCTCAGCAGCCTGCTGGACTTTTTTTTTTCCAAGTTCCTCTCTGCGACCCTGCCCACTGCTGCTCTTTTCTCCCCATCAGATAGACATCTGCATAAGCCAAGGAAGAAAATCCTGAAGAAATTCACATTGCCTTGTTAATGGTATTGCCCATCCCAGCGATGCTACACTTGAACCCTTTCAACCCGAAGAATTTTTCTGTTCTTAATTTTTTTTTTAATTATACGTGCTTATTTAGTTCACGGGTGCCATCACCCATGCGTGGAGGTTAGAGGACAACTTGCTAAAGTCATTTCTCTCTTTCTACTCTGTAGATCTCTGGGATCGAACTTAGTCCATCAGATTTGGCAGCAACCCTTTTACCAGCTCAGCCATCTCACTTACCCTGCAAAGAGGAGCTTGTTACCAAACCTGACAACTTAGTTCCATCCCCCCAGACCCACCTAGTGGATGAAAAAAATGGACTGCAGCAAGCTGTCCTCTGACCTCCACACGCACCCACACACGTGAACTCTCGACTCTACATACAGAATTGATTGATTGATTAATTAATCAACTAATTAAGATGTGATAATTCTTTGAGGCAGGGTCGCGCTATGCACCCCTTGCTGACCTATAATTCACTATGTAAACTTTCCAAGTTCTGGGATTACACACCCAGCATAAAACATTTTCAAAAGAATTTCAAGCATCCATGTATACGGGAGTTAGAAGATTTGGACAAAGGGGGCAAGATTGTTTCATCAAGTCCTTTCTCATTGTAAAAGAACTATAGTGAGCCAGAGAATTTTTCAGACAATCATTCCCCCTCTATTTTATGTGGCAATAGAAAAAAAATTGTCTTGTTTGAGTTTTGGTGGTTGAAAGAAAAAATAAAATAGAGGACGTGACAGCTCCTAGGTATGGTGAAGGAGAAGGTTTATTGTAGATAAAAGGGAAATCATAGACAGAGGCAGAGACATCTGGGAGAGTCCAGTGTGAACATGACCCTGAGCTGGACCATGTAAGGAGAAGGGAGAGGGGAGAGCCAGACTAAGGGGCCAGAAGGGTAAAAGGGAGACAAAAAGACCAGGTAACCAGAATGGTTGGCTGGATTATATAGGGAAGAGCAGCTGGGGGAAGGGCCTAAGGAGTTTAGGGTAGGGGGTGGGGTATGCCGACCCTGTAACCATAGGGACTGAGGGATGCTAGGCCAGGCCTACTTTGATATGTTAAATGGGCACCTCAGCTGTTTGTCGCAGGTTTGAGACCTACCCCTGGTTTTGTTTGCTTGTTCTTTGTTGTGGCTAGGGTTTTGTTTAGTTTTGTTTGGGTCTCCTGCAGCATAGGCTGGACTTGAATTCTTGATCCTCCTGCCCCGGCCTCCCAAGTGTTGAGATTACAAACCTTCCCTCTGTGCACTTGGCTAATTTTTATGCTTATGCAATTGACCTTAAATAGGAAGCACATTTCCGTTGGTCTTTTGCTTCATTCAAAGCATAGCATGCTTATTGTGTGCAAAGGCAATGCTAGTATTAATCCTAGGGAGTGAATGAAACAAGGCCCAGTACCTCAAATAATAAGTACTGAGTCAAGCCAAGATTCAGACCACACTGCCAACCTAGGGTGGTGGCTCAGGCCTGTAATACTGGAGGTTGAGGCAGGAGGATAAGACTATCCTAGCCTCTAGAGTAAATCCCATGTCAGCCTAAACTACAGAGTACAACTTTGTCTCAAAAACAAACAGTAACAACAACAACAAAAAAAAAAAAACAGGGCTAGGAGCGAATCTCAGAGTGCTTTCTAGCATGTACAAGGCCCTGGGTTTCATCTCCAGCACCATATAAACCGGATGTGATAGCTCACACTTGTAATTCTAACACTCAGGAGTGGACACAAGAGGATCAGGAGTTCAAGGTTATAGTGAGTTCAAGGCCTGCCTGGACTACATGAGACCCTGTCTCAAGAAAACATTATATGCCAGGCGGTGGTGGCGCATGCCTTTAATCCCAGGACTCGGGAGGCAGAGGCAGGCAGATCTCTGTGAGTTCAAGACCAGCCTGGTCTACAGATTGAGACCCAGGACAGGCACCAAAACTACAGAGAAACCCTGTCTTGAAACACCCCCCCCCCCAAAAAAAAGAAAACATTATACTTCGGGTCAGTGAGAAGGAACATTGAATAAAGACACTTGCATCTGAACATGATGGCTTAAATTCAATCCCAAAGCCCACATGGGGAAGGAGAGCACTAACTCCCAAAAGTTGCCTTCTGACATGTACACAAGCAGTGTAGCAGGAATCCCCAACACACAAAGAGTAAATGAAAATAAGAAACAAATGTTAAGCTATACTTAACATAGTAAACACACATTAAAGATTATTTGGAAAAACAAAAGGGCCATGCAGATACTTGAAATCCATGTGCACTTTATAGCAAATTATTCATTCAGCTGTTGCATGCCTGGTCTGAATCAGAATTGCATCTACCTGGTGTGGTTGCGGTGAGGGTTAAACCAGTTAATGCTGGGAAAGAGAACATGCTTCAAACACAACAATTACACAATAAATCTAGTAAAGCTAGTATCATTCCAAAAAATTAGGGAGCTGGAGAGATGGCTCAACAGTTAAGGGCAGGGCCTGTTCTTGAAGACGACTTGGGTTCAGGTGCCAGCACCCACATAATGGCTCACAATGGTCTGTAAGTCCAGTTACAGGAGATCCAACATCCTTTTCTGAACTTTGAGGGCCCTGGGCACACATATTGTGCACATATAAACATGCAGGCAAAACATTTATACTGATTTTTTTTTGGTTTTTCGAGACAGGGTTTCTCTGTGTAGCTTTGCGCCTTTCCTGGAACTTGCTTTGGAGACCAGGCTGGCCCTGAACTCACAGAGATCCACCTGGCTCTGCCTCTCAAGTGCTGGGATTAAAGGCGTGTGCCACCACTGCCCTGATTTTTTTTTAGTTCAATAAATTCATATGAAATTTCATCTGGTATATGTTGGGATTCCATTTTTTAAAACTCTTTTTTTCCCCTTTAGTGTGTAGATGTATGTTGTGTGGGTAAATGCGGGTATATGTTTTTGTATGTGTATGGGCTCACATGTGTGTGTATGTATATGTGTGGAGGCTATGTTACTCTCACTCTGGAAGGGTTTCTTGCCAATTCAGCTACCATAGCTAGCCAGTTTGCCTTGGGGGATCTCCTGTGTTTGTCTCCCAAGTGCTATTTTTTTTACCTGCGCTCTGAGTATCCAATCTTCAGTCTTCATGCTTGCACGGCAAACCTATTATCAACTGATTCCTCTCCCCTGATCACTGGGATCTTATCGTAAGATGTGCATCCTGTGAGATACTTGTTACAGACCCAGGGATTCCTGACACCTCCCTGCCTTGAGATTTCAGCTGGGCAAGTGTGAGGATGGGGATCAGAAATCCACATTTGTTTCAATCACTCCAGCTAATCATGGTGCATAATAGCCCTGATAATACTTTCAGAAATTATTATGGTATGTAGTATAGTCTGCTTAGTGACTGTGGCAGTCCCCCTCAGCTTCTGGGTCACTACATGATACAATCCATTCTATTGATAACTGCCGGAGTTCTCCTGTGGAAACATCTCAGGAAAATTCTTTGTTAGCTTCCAACAGTTACAGGGATCACCTTAAGCCAGCGTTCCAGACCTTCCACTATATTTTGGGATCAATCTAATCAGCTAGAAGGTCATGACTGTGTCATGCACTTTTCCCATCTAGCCAGGCCTGCATGCTGATGAGCCTTGAATGGTTCATGCCTGTCGTCATGCTGAAGCCTTCAACATTCCCAGAGGCTGTATAGCCTAGACACTCAACCCAGTTCTCACATCCTTTTCTTTCCTGGCTTCTAAAATGATGGCTGCCTTCGTAGAACTACCAATACTCTGACTGTTGTGTATTTATACCCAGTGAGTCTTGTCTTTCCCCCCAATTCAATCTTTGAGGGTATGGTATGTGTATCTTATCCCTCAGAGTCTCTATCATAGTTCTAGGCATTAGAAAGTGCCGTTGTATAGAACTAAGCCAGTCCTGTCAAATCATTTTAATACATGTTCTTTTAAAAATGATTTTTAATTTATGTGTATAAATATGTGTCTTTGTGAATTTATGGGCACCATGTGCATACAGTTGCCTGGGGAGGCCAGAAGGCACCAGATCCTCTGGAACTGGAGTTGTAGGCAGTTGTAAGCTTCCAGATGTGTGTACCGGGATCTGAACCTGGGTCCTCTGCAAGAGCAGTAAGCACTCTTAACCACTGAGCCCTCTCTCCAATCCCCAATACATGTATTTCTAAGAAGGAATTCTGTAGCATCTCACGTATCTTTTCTTGCATCAAACTGAGAAGGTTTGAAAAATTTCTAGATATTTCATTTTGTTGTGATTTTGTTTGCTGATAACAAGGTTAAGCAGAATGTTATCTTGGTTCCAGTGATTATCTAATTCAACAATACTACGTATCACCTATGACATGCCCACTTACAGATTTTCTGCTTGAAGAGTCTAACCTTTACTATAATGTGGGCTATTTCTTATTCCTCCTACAGATGTAATGGTTTCTCTTTTTCTAGAAGAGCATGTTTTATTGGATTAAATAAATATAAGGGGGTTAATGGCTAAGTAATTTCATTTTGGCTTCCTTAATCTCCTTTCTCTCTCTACCCTTCAGGGTTCTGCCTCCCTGAAGGACAGAAGTGCTTTAAATGATTTCGCTTGGATGTGTGGAGTAGGTGGGGACACCAAAGGAAATGCCTTTTCTCTTGCAGTAGGCAAGGGGGTGAGATTCAGTTCATCAAATATTTATCGAGTTCTTCTGGCTCACCTAGCTCTGTTCATAGCACAATGGAAGGCACCAAGATGGAAAGTGATGACTGGGTGG